GCATTTCTTATTTTTCTGGAGACAGAGTCTCGCTACGTAGTCCAGGCTGGCCTCAGATGCTCAGCAATCCTCCTGCCTTACCCTGCCAAGCACTAGTATTACAGGTATGCACCACCAAGAACAGCTAAAACTAAGCATTTTTTACATTTCTCTTTTTACTGACTATACTTCTTTAATTCATCAATTCAGAATACAGCTGGTTTTAATGAGCAAAATAGACTTCTCTAAAAATTAATGATCACATTAAAAGGTACTTTAAAATCTTTTTTTAAATTAGTCTTCTCTCTTCAAATACAATCATCATGAATGTTATTCTACCTCATCTTCATCTCCAGGCAGTAAGGCCCAATTTAATGCTTACCACTGCTTGTTCAAGTACTATATATTAGATTTCCAGTAATCCCGCTAGCAGCAAAAACCCTGAAGTATTTCCTCCTTTGGACAGTTTCCTGATATAACAAATGTCTAATAATCTTAATAGAGGGAAAATAAAATACTAATGGAACCAGTCTGCCTGGTTTATACACATAAGTGACACCGGTACATGGTATGTGAGTAATCCACATGCGTGTGAGACACCAAATCCAACCTCACCTAAGCAAAGATACAAGACAGGACTGGAGAGATAGCTCGGCAGTCTCAGCGCCTGCCTGGCAAGCACAAGGACCCAGGTTCAATCCCTGGAACCGCATGCCATGCCAGCCGTGGAAACCAGGCATGGTAGCACACACCTATAATCCCAGTTCTAAGGAGGCTGAGACAGGAGGATCAGAGCTGCATAGTGAGACCCTGGTATCAAATAAAAAAGTAAAAACCAAAGAAGACACAAAATGCAGGTGTGTGTGGATACATATACAACTTACACACACTACACATTTATTAAGAGCAACATGAAATTTACTTCACAAACCACCAATAATGAATTCTCAGAAACTATCCCTATGAACTATTAACCAAATATGTACCTAACACATTAAGACCACGGAGACACCATGTACTTCCTTATGAAATGGAAGAAACAAGCTGCTATTCTAACCATATTCCATTCTTTTTCAGATGTCAGGAAAAAAACCAAAATTGTGAAGGTTAACTTGTCTTAATCCACAAAAACAACTTATACTAAACCCAGTTCTACTGCAGCAAGGACACAGGGAAAGTTAAACAGGGAATAGGCCCTGAGTAGTTAACCTTAACTAAGTAAAGGCGCTTAAGTGAATTAATACACCAGAGGACCCAAATAACCAACTTTATCAGGACCTAATGGAATGCAAGGGACAAAGGACAGATCCTACACAAATGGAAGGGGCCTTGGCAGAAGCGACGCTTTCCAGTCATCCAAGGCCTCCCACCCAGAAGGAAAGCATCCCTGCGTTCTGTCATGAACACTGGTACCAAAAACTGTATTTTTAAAAAAATGGACTTAAACATCTCTGGTGTCCACCTCATGAATCCCTCTCCAATGATTGGGAAGCTTTTCCTCTTATTCTTTCTAAAAAAAAACATGCATTTGGCCTTTCCCAATGCCTGCTGTTGGCTGTTTTGTCAGCTTCTAGTGCACCAAGAAGGTCCCAAGAGCTGGAGCGAGCTGATCACATTGCCTCTACTGCTTATTACAAATATTATATTACTGTTGGTTGTTTCATTTCTTCCCTGGCTGTTGATCAGAGGTATATTCCAAGTTCCTTTCCATGGGAGCTTCTTGGAAAGACTGCATCAGACTGCAGCTGCCTCAGAGCGTGTGAATGACAGTGGAAGGGAGAGAGAAAGACAGAAGCAACAATGTCTTTTATGACCTCGACCTGGTTCCTTCTTATCTGCAAAGATTTTACAAAGATTGTAGGCCCATTCTTACCAAGGACCTACAAAAAGTATGACTACAAGAGGGGGATGTTTTAAAGTTGTTTTGGAAGCTGTCTACCATATTTGGCGCAATGCTTAAATAATTACAGGGCTAAAAGCAATCTCAGGGTACAGGCAAAATAGGAAGTCTAGAACTGGTCTTTCTCGGCTTATTAGGTGGTACTCTGGCCCAGATAACACCAAAGACAAAGACTGTGTGGCATATCACTGAACTAGATGTTCTGTTCATACCTGCTCACAAAGTTCACCAGAAACATACACCTTCAAATAAGTAAGAACTAGGAAGCTGAGGCAGGAGGCTCTCCACAAGTTCAATGCCAGCCTAGAATACAAAGCAAGTTCAAGGCCCACCTAGCAAGACCCTGTATCAAAAAAGCTTTCAAAAAGTACTATTAAATGAAGTAAAATACTTACTTTTGAACCATCTAGTTCATACTAGGATTTGAATCCAGGACCTTTGCACTGCTAAAATGAGGCCTTAGGGGCCGGGGAGATGATTCAGTGGAATAAGCACTTCCCTAGCAAGCGCAAGGGCCTGAGTTCAATCCCCATTTCTGCCAAAAAGAAATTTTTTAAAACTTAAAATAAAATAAAATGAGGCCTTACTAAGTTTCTAAATTCTTCAGGCTGGACTGTAACATAATACCTCCTGTCTCAGCCTCTCAGGATGCTGAGATTACAGGTGTGCATCACCACACTAAACTTATGCTATTTTGAAATAGCCTTTTATTATTGTACTCTCTTATCGCTCAAAGAAAAGCAGTTAAGTATATTTTGGTGATGTTCAAAAATAGTCCCCAAGGAAAATCTGAAGCAACCAAAAAAAAATTGACACTCATACTCAAATACATTTAACAAGGGACCATGGAGATAGCTCAGCAATCTAAGTGCCTGCGTAGGCAAGCACAGGAACCTGGGTTTGATCCCCGGTACCACATGCTGCATAGGCCTTACCCCAGGCACGCTGAGCAGCCACAAAGAATGGGCATGATGGTATAACCTGTAATCCCTGCAGTGGGGAGGCTGAAACGGGAGGATCACTACAAGTCTGAACTGCGTAATGAGACCCTATACCAAATACATAAAATAAAAATAAATAAATAAATAT